GTAGCCTAAGCAAGTTGGTCTTGGACTCCTGATCATCCTGCCTCAGACTTCCTAGTGTTGGGATTACAGGCGTTCGCTCCAACACCTAGTTGATGTGATTCTTTTTTCCCAAATCTCACATGTTATGTCTTCTAGTATGTCCACGAGAAAGCTAGGTTCTTTTGCCTGAGTCCAGAGGAGGCTTTGCCCTGTATGGCCACCAGGGGGCAGGGTTGATCTACTGTGGGGGATTGTAATGGCCTGCTTGAGTTCCAAACAGCTTCGGGCCTGTGGAACCTGTCTGAGATCTTCAAGGAGATAAGAATCAGCCTGTTTCCCCTCACTCAAACCGCAGCTCCGGGACTTGGGGACCCGAGCAGCAAGCGTGCCTTTCTGCGTCTTGTGTGATGAGCCCAGCTCGACCCTGGGCCAAATGCCCTCTCTGAACTCACGGTTCCCTGAGCACCAAACCCTGTTTAAGAGCTTTATCGGAGACCTTAGTGGAAAAGCCGCATCTCCTCTCTAGCGCACGCTTTAGGCTTTGCTAACCTCCAGACGGCTGCAGAAGAGCGCCTTCGTCTTTGCTAACCTCAGGACTGGTGCAGAGGAGCTTCTCCCAGAGGAGGCCTCGGCTGCCGGATCTGAACCAACCTAGAGCAACCGTCCTTTCTGCCATGAAGCTCATGGTTTGGGGTGTGTTTGTGTCTCTGTGTGTGTGTATGGATGGATGGATGAGAGGTAAATAAACATGTAACGAGGGCTCTGAAGAAAATAAATTAGGGCAAAGGAACTGAGAGAAAGGCTAGGTGTTCTAATAGGGTTTGCGTGAGTGTGTGTGTGTGTGTGTGTGTGTGTGTGTTCAGACATGCATGCGCATGCATGAGGAGTCCAGAGTCGAGATGTCAGGAGTCTTTTTCCATTATTCTCTACTTGATCGAGATAGGGTCTCTCATTGAAACTGGAACCCAGCAATTTGGCTAGGTTTTCTGGCCAGGAACCTCCAGAGATCAACCTGTCGCTGTCTCACCCGAGTAAGGGGACAGAGGCTCGCACTGTCTGCCACATACAGCTGTTACGCGCGGGAGCCTAGGGCTCTAAACTCACACTGGCACGGCAAACACAGCTCTGCACTGTCGCCCCAACCCCCTGGGATGCTATTTTATACTAAGGTCAGGGAAGTCTCTCACGAGGTTGACTTTGAACAAAGGCTTCAAGGAAGTTAACCAAGAAAGACTAACGGGAAGGCTAGAGTTATGGCCAAACGGGAGAGGGCTTGGCTAGCATGCACAGAGCCTGGACTAGGTCCCCAGAACTCTGGACTGAAATGCAGAGCTCATGAAAACAAAACAGCCGTGGCAACTGGGGGAGAAGCTAGGCCAGACTACGGAGGCCATGTGGCAGCGGAGTGTTCCTGTGGAGGGGAGGGAGGGGATGGGGCGAAGAACCTGCAGAGGTGGAAGAATCCAGGGGTCCCCTGGGCCATTAGGGATAGCAGTGCCTCTTGGTCTTTCTGCTCAGTGTGTGGAGAAAGGGCCGCCGAGGTTGGAAGCCTGAACAGGAATCTCCCGCAACTATGCAACTATCCCCGTGAAAGAGAAAGGTGACTCAGTACCCAGGACACTCAGTGTTTGCTCTGTTGAACTGAGCTGCTTTGCTTCAAATCTGTGGAAATCAGAACCTCCCAATCCCTTCCAGAGCACGAGGAAGGCCCTCCCCCACCCCCACTAGAAACAAAAATCTCCACAGGAAAAGCCATCTGGAGTCACAGAGAGTCCCTGTTTCCTGCCAGGAACCATGGAGTTTGAAGCCAGAAATGCCCACAGGATGTCGAATTCCAGATCTGAAGGTAGGCAGTGACTCCTGAGCGACTCCACGGACGCTAGAATGAGGGCTTGCTCCGCTGTGCACTTGGCTTTGGCTGCTGTGCCGTCTTTAGCTTCTTGCCCCCACTCTGTTCCCACAGTCCCTGGGTTGCAGCAGAGATATGCTAGTGCCTCTGGCCACAGGCTGTGCCAGTCAGCAGGCCAGCTTGGCAATGCCACACTCACAACCCATGCTTGGCCTTGCTTCTGCAGGTCTCCAAGGCGGCAGCTCCTTGATCCTCTCCCTCAGCACCCAGATCAGAAATAGACACTGGCCGAGACTCATGCTTGTGTGCGATGCTGATGTGAGGGACTATTAAGCGACCTTGCACTGTCGTCCTCTGCTTCCTGCTCCAGGATGCAGCCCACAGCATCGCAGGCAGATTTATATACAGGAATCACAACGAAGAACAGAAGGCTTGTTTATATGCATGGGTGTGTGTGCGCCTGTATACGTTTATATGCACTGTGTATGTGCAGGTGATTGAGGAGGCCAGAGGGTGTTGGATCCCCTGGAACTGGAGTTACACAGATGGTTGCATGAAGCCACCTGATATGGGTGTTGGGAGCCAAAATCAGGTCCTGTACAAGAGCAGTAAATGCTCTTAACCACTGAGGCATCTCTCCAACACTGAGCAATAGGCTTTAAGGGGAATTCATGTGTGTGTGTGTACATGCAAATATTGTCATATATATATATATATATATATATATATATATATATATATATAGACAGGGTTTCTCTGTAGCTTCGGAGCCTGTCCTGGAACTAGCTCTTGTAGACCAGGCTGGCCTTGAACTCACAGAGATCGGTCTGCCTCTGTCTCCGGAGTGCTGGGATTAAAGGTGTGTGCCACCACTGCCCAGCTACCTACAATAAAATATAGAAGAGGAGAACAACAGCCACAACAACTAACAGCAGGCACAGCTGCATACACTGCTAGCCCTAACCTTTGGGAGGCAGAGCCAGGCAGATCTCTGTGAGTTTGAGGACAGCCTGGTCTATATAGTGAGTTCTAGGTCAGCCAGGGCTACATTTTAAGAGCATGAAAAGAGGAGAAGGAGGCGAGGGCACTGAAGAGAGAGCTCAGCACACGTCTCATCTCCAGGTCAGGAGTCTCACAACTACCTGTGATCCCCACTCCTGGGCATCTATGACCCCTCTGCTCTCAACACTCAGGCACAGTCATACACACAATAATTAAGAATTTAAACTGTTTAAAACCCTTCTGAGGGGAAAAAAGTAAGCTTAGAGTCATCACATGAGCTATTGCACTTCTGGGCATGAACCCAAGAGAACCAATTAACATTTACACAGAAACCTCAGCATGAACGCTCGTAAGGGCGGAATGAGGAAGAGCTCAGATATATGAATAAAATATGCCGTGCAGCGGAGTTTTATTCAGATATGAGGAAGAATGAAGGAGCTGGGGTGTAGCTTAGTTGCTAGGGTGCTTGCTTGTCTGGCTGTCTCAAAACCCTGGCTTTAGACCCAGCACAAAACCCAGGTTCATACCCAGCACAATGTGAACCCATCACAGTGGGGACAGCCATGTAATCCTAGCACTTGGGAGATGAAGACAGGAGGATCAGAGGTTCAAGGCGATCTCTGGTCACCTAAGGAGTCATGGTCAACCTGGACTGTATGAGACTGTCTCAAAAAAAAAAAAAAAAACAATTGAAACCAGGAGCTGGAGAGATGGCTGCCTGGTTAAGCACTCAATGCTCTTGCAGGACGACAGACCCAGTCCACAGTGCTCACGTGGTAGCTAACAACCATCTGTAAGGCCAGTTCCAGGGGACCCAACATCCTCTTCTAACCGCTGAGGGCACCTGGCACACACATGGTGCACAGACATATAAGCAGGCGAAACATTCATACACATAAAATAAAATAAATAAATCTTAAAAAAAACATAAAACAAAAATTCTCCCCATCCTATCTATCTCTTTTTTTCGAAAGATTACATTTATGTATGCATGTATATGTGTATGTGTATATGTGTATGTGCATATGTATATGTATATATGTATATGTGTATATGTAAGTGTGTATGTGTATACGTGTATGTGCATATGTATATGTGTATATATGTATAATGTGTATGTATACTATACATGCATGCGGTGAAGGAGCCTTGGCATGTGTGTTGAGGCTTCAGCTCTCTCCTTCCACAATATGAGTTCTGGGGTTGAACTTCAGCTGCTGGGCTTAGGGGCGAGCAGCTTTATCCACTGAACTGGCCTGTCTCTAAGCCGGTCCTGCTCGCCTGCTTTTGTATGCAATATTTACCACTCTACAACATCTTATGGATTTGAGTGTTGGCTGTTTCAGTTGTTACATTTACTTCTGAGTTTCTAGTGTCTGGGATAGGGCCTGGCGACAAAGTGGCAGTAATCAGGCAGAAACAATGAACGCAAAGCAAGTTTCCCTACTCCCCGCCAAACCCCTGTAACTGCCCCCTCTACCACCTCGGGCTTTTTGCTGGAGGGAATCATTTCCAAGGGCATTTGTTAGTCTCTAGCTCAGTTTCTCTAAATAATGTGCTACAGTTGCAATTGTTATTGTTGTTTTGTTTAGAGATAGGGGCTCACTAATCTCAGTAGGACAGATTGGTGTACCATCCCCCCTGACTCTGCCTCCCCAGTGCTGGGACTATAGGCTTGTATCACAACACTTAGTTTGCAATTTTTACAAATTTACTTTATGCATTTTACCCCTCTACTGACTTTTCTGGACCCTCCCATTAGGTAATTGGGCAATCTGTTACCTCCAAACTGACATTTTACATTTAGTTAAATCATTATGACTATGTAAATATTGTTCACCGCAAAGACAAATTCCCACACTGATTATATTCCTTTCCACACAGCTTTTGCTCTTCCCAGAGCACCTAATTGCCTGTTTCATTCCCCGAAATGCTTATTATTGTTAGCATAATCCTGATAGTTTTCCAGTACTGCATCATGTTAGAGACTCTTGAAAATTGTACTTTTTTTCCTCCCATGGCACTTATGATACGTTGCAACTGTTCATTTATTTGGTTATTTATTTTCTCGTCTGTCAAGTTCAGTCATTGGAACATAAGCTTCTCGAGGCAAAACCTGTTGTTTCCAGAACATTCCCAGCACCTGACACCTGCTCCTTGTCTGACACAGGGGACCTGGAACTTGACAACTAGGCTTCACCGACTGGCCAGAGGCCAAAGGGACTGTAATGGCTTCTTCTGGTTGTCAGCTTGACTATATCTGAAACCGGGGCTCACCTGTGAGGGATTTCTGCTCAATCCGAAGTGGGAAGAATCGCTTCTAGTCTGCATCTCTGAGGTGGGAAGACCCGCCTCTAGTCTGGGTCACGCCTTCTGCTGGAAAGCCTATGTAAGGATGTAGAAGAAGGAAGTTTAGCTCTTCGCCTGCTTTCTTCTGACTTGTTAGTGAGTCCATTCCATCGCTGGCATTAGAACCTAATTCTTGTGCATTCTGGCATGTACCGAAGACCAGCTGAGACATCCAGCCTCATGAACAACTGCAAGTTTCTTGGACCTTCCGTTCATAGGCAGCCATTGGTGGATTAGCTGGACCAAACCTGTAAGTCATTCTAATACGTTCCCTTTCTATATAGAGAGATCACTCTATAACTTCTGTTACAGTAGAGAACCCGGACTAATACAGCTATCCTCCTGTTTCTGCCTCCCCAGCTCTGGAATGTGGCATCACTGTGTACCCAGCATTCTACCTGGGTGCTAGGGACTGAACTTAGGTCCTCATGCTGTGTGACAAGCACCTTACTGGCTGAGCCGTTGTCTCAGTCCCCAACCCTTTGCATTTTGATACTTCGCCATGTAGCTAAGATTGGCCTTGAACCCCTGATCTTCCCGTCTCAACTCTGAGTGCCAGAGTCACAGGCAAGCTTCTCCACACCAAGCTTTCTGTGGGTTTTATTAATCTCCTTTAACTCTAGATGGCCTGAAATTTACTATGTAGACCAATGTTTTTTTTTTGATATATTTATTTATTATATATACAACTTTCTGCCTCCATGTATACCCACACGCCAGAGGAGGGCGCCAGATCTCATTACAGATGGGTTGGAGCCACTATGTGGTTGCTGGGAATTGAACTCAGGACCTCTGGAAGAGCAGACAGTGTAACCACTGAGCCATCTCTCAAGCCCTAGACCAATGTTTCTCAACTTGAATGTCAAGACCCCTTTGGGGATCTTTATTTACATTAGATATTTACTCAGATTAGAGGTGGGTCTTCCCACCTCAGGAGATTTGGGTTAAGGGTGTGTCTTCCCACCTCCATTCAGGTATTTACTTTAGAATTCATAATAGTAGCAAACTTAGTTATGAAGTAGCAATGAAATAATTTTATGGTCAGGGGTCACCACAACATGAAGAACTATATTAAAGGGTCACGATATCAGGAAGATTGAGAACCACCGAGGTAGACCAATTTGACCTCAAATTTGTGGTGATTTTAACAGGACCCGGAACTTAGCATAACTGGATCCATGATGGGTATACTATGTGGGCCATAAAACACAGCACACAGACAGCATCTCTTGCTGAAATGAAAGCAAAGACTTAAATGATCAGTCTGTGGGCTGTGGTTCTGGGAACAGCTCTGAATGTACTAACCTTGCTGTTTGGCTTCAGTAGCTCTGCTCCTGGCTAACCCTTCTTGTTAACCGTAGTGCATCAACCTGGAATATTGTTTTTGTGCTCAAAAGCTCAGCCTGAGAAAGGTTTAGTCCTGGGATCCTAACACCCAGTGTAGTTGCCAGGCAGCTAATAAAGACTTTCTACTGGCTCAAACCCGTTTCCACACAGTCTTCTCTGGTGGATACCTCATGTATTTACTGCTGTGAAAAGACCATGTGACCACAGCAACTTTTTTTTTTTTTTGTTTGTTTCTTGAGATGGGTTTTCTCTGTGTAACCCTGGCTGACCTGGAAGTTACTCTGTAGACCAGGCTGGCCTTGAACTCAGAGAGGTCCGCCTGCATCTGCCTCCCGAGTGCTGGGATTAAAGGCAAGCACCACTACTACCTAGCTAAAGTAACTCATAAAGGAAAGCATTTAACTGGGGCTGGCTTACAGTTTAGAGGTTGAGTCCATTATTGTCATGACGGGAAGCATGGTGGCATGCAGGTAGGCACATGGTGCCAAAGAGGTGGCTGAGTGTTCTACAGCCAGATCACCAGGCAGCAGGAAGAGAGCAAGCGAGACACTGGGCCTCTCTTGAGCGTGTCTGAAACTTCAAAGCCCACACCTGTGCCATATTTCCTCCAACAAGCCCAGACCCACTCCAACAAGGCCTTATGTCCTAATCCTTTCAAATAATGCTGTTCTTTGTGAGCCTCTGGGGGCCATTTTCATCCAACAGCATACCCCACAACAGTGACCTGTGTCTGCCTCTGAACGCTAGAGTTGGAGATAGGAGCTTGTCTTTCCTTCCTTCCTTCCTTCCTTCCTTCCTTCCCTCCTTTCTTTCTTTTTAAAGATTTATGTATTATGTATACAGTGTTCTGCCTGCATGCATGCCTGCAGGCCAGAAGAGGGCACCAGATCTCATTACAGATGGTTGTGAGCCACCATGTGGGTGCTGGAAATTGAGCTCAGACCTTGGGAAGAGCAGCTAGTGCTCTTAACCTCTGAGCCATCTCTCCAGCCCTGAGTTTGTGTTTTTCTTAGAGGACCAAAATGTACCAGCCAGGGCCAGTGACACACCACACCAACCCTTGTCTCCTTCTCTCCCCAGACTCCTCAACATGTTCCCCTCCTCTCCATGTCCTCTTTTTACATTTATTTATTTATTTAGTTAGTTTTGAGACAGCATTTCTCTCTGTGTAGCCCTGGCTGTCCTGGAACTAGCTTCGTAGTCCAGTCTGGCCTCAAACTCTCAGAGCTCTGTCTGCCTCTGCTTCCCAAGTGCTGGGATTAATGACCTGAGCCATTAATCTTTTTATTTTTTTTAAGATTAATTGTATGGGTATGAGTGCTTTGCCTACATGTATGCATGTGCAGTGTGTGTGCTTGTGAGTCTCTGTGTGTGCACAGGCTGGAAGAAGGCACCAAATTCCTCAGAACTAGAGTTAAGAATGAGGAGCTGGGGGCTGGAGAGATGGCTCAGAGCTTAAGAGCATTGCCTGCTCTTCCAAAGGCCCTGAGTTCAATTCCAGCAACCACATGGTGGCTCACAACCATCTTTAATGGGGTCTGGTGCCCTCTTCTGGCCTGCAGGCATACACACAGACAGAATATTGTATACATAATATATATATATATATATATATATATATATATATATATATATATATATATATAATGAGGAGCTGCAGTGTGGGTGCTGGGAACCGAATCTGGGTCTTTTGCAAGACCAGCAAATGCTCTTACCCACTGAGCATCTCTCCAGCCTCCTGACCCACCAAGTTCAATTCATCAAACCTGGCAAAGCAAATAACCTCCCTCCCACAACAACCAGCAGGTGTGAATAAATCCTTAGCTGAGGGCGGAGCCTTGGGCATTCCTCCCCATCCCTGCTGGGATGTTGGTAGGTGTGATCTGTGCGGGGAACAATGGTTGCTGTGGGTTCTTGAGGATAAGGGCCGTGTCATTGCCAAAGACAGTGTTCACCGCATTCCTCCCCAGCCTCCAGCTCTTGTATCCGTTCTTCCCCTTCTTCTGTGATGTTCCCTGAGCACTGGGGCAGTGAATATAGATGTTCCACGCAGAGCTGAGAGTTTACAATCTCTTTGATCAGTACTTTGATCAGTTATGAATCTCTTTGTTAACCACCATTCACTTCATTGAGAAGCTGCTTTGAGCCGGGCAGTGGTGGCACACACCTTTAATCCCAGCACTCAGGAGGCAGAGGCAGGTGATCTCTGTGAGTTGGAGGCCAGCACGGTCTATAGAGCAAGTTCAAGGACAGCTAGGACTACATAGAGAAATCCTGTCTCGAAAACCAAAAAAACAAAAACAACAACAACAAAAAACCTGCTTTGGCCAAGGCTGAGTAAGCACTAATTTATAGGCAGAAATGTAGATATTTAGAAGGCATGTTGACATGATGACAACATGTTCATTTAACTAAACAATAGTATGAGATTTTCCCCTAGGACCCCCCCCCCCCCCAGCCTTGACTTTAGACCAGGCATGAATTCCCTCCGGTGGAGCAGGCCTCAGATTCACTCAGAAATTGGTTGGTTACCTCTATCATGGTCACACCGCTGGTAAACCAGTGGCCACATCCTGCCTGGCGGTCTGGAGCATTCAGGGTTCACTGTCAGAACACGGTCCAAGGATGGAGTTGTGTAAGGGAGATTCTAAGTCCTTGTAAGGAAACAAAACAAGAGTCTTGTGAGCCCAGTTCCTTCGAAACCACAGAACTGTTCTTGGATTGCGCTTCCGTGACCCTCCCAGGTATAGCAGAGAGGTGCGCGTGTGCTTCAGATGATTCATTACAAATGGCCGTTGCTATTTGTTTACTTGCCTCTTTGGGAAACACGTTTTTGCCATGTGAGGTGTACCCTTGTGGTCAGACACTTTACCCATGTGACTCCTCATAACCCTCAAAGCACAAATTGTCTGATGCTCTGGATAAAGTGGTTACCGTGTGAGACTTGTCTGACTCATTTATTGGCTCTGTTCTCCCAGGTCCCACTGCCCTAGAGCAGTGGAAACTCCACCATATTGAAGATTTTTCTCCCTCAGCAGCCTGTATAGCACTTTCTGGTACAGTGAGAGCTAGCTCCCAAGAGGAAAATCTTCAGGTCAAATACAACACGGTTTCTCCAGGTCCTGCAACCAAAGCCTTGGTGTCTTCAGCTGGTAAGACAGCTATGAGAAATGGCACACTGAACCCTCTGCACAGCTAAGCGATGGGAAATGATTTCCTAGACTCTGACCTAGTTTCTCTTCATGTCTTTGCTTTGTTTTTCGAGACAGGGTTTCTCTGTGTTGCCCTGGCAGTCCTGGAACTAGCTCTGTAGACCAGGCTGACCTCAAACTCAGAACTCCCTCTGCCTTTGCTTTCTGAGGGCAGGGATTAAAGGTGTGTGCCACCTCCGCCCGGCTTCTCATTGTCTTCTGTAGGATGCAAAAGTCATAGCTCACAGGGCGGTGGTGGCGCACGCCTTTAACCCCAACACTCGGGAGGCAGAGGCAGGCGAATCTCTGTGAGTTAGAGGCCATCCTGGTCTACAAGAGCTAGTTCCAGGACAGGAACCAAAAGCTACGGAGAAACCTTGTCTCGAAAAACCATTAAAAAGAAAGGAAGGAAGGAAGGAAGGAAGGAAGGAAGGAAGGAAGGAAGGGAAGGCCATAACCCCTGAGGCACTGCCAATGCCCCAGTGCAACCCCTGCTGCCAGGACCCGGTCCAGACTGTGGACAAACAGCAGGACATGGGAGAATTGATTGCACCACTTTTGCCTAGACAAAATAAGGTCAGTCTTTTCCATGTCCCTTTTCCACAGGGAAAAAAATCACCATATGGGCCTGGCTAAGACTGTAAGACTGCTGTTCTGGATACTTCTGCCTCCAGTGCTATGGAGACCTGGGTATGGCTAACTGTATATGGACTCTGGTCCCTGTCATTTTTCATAGATTCAGAAGCTGCTCAAGTATAATTTATTTATCCTTCTGGGATCTCTGATAGCATTGATGGCTAGGCCTGCTATAATGTCAGTTTAGCAGCAAAAGGTATCCAGATCCTTTCACAAAGCTATAGCCAGTTTGTAATCTATCTATCTATCTATCTATCTATCTATCTATCTATCTATCTATAGTCTTGCTTTTTCTAAAACTACTAGGTCTCTTGATTTAAAAAATAAGATATATAAAGGTCTGAGGAGATAAAAGTTCATAAGTTTTGAGGGCCTAAAAAGTGATTTAAGATGTAAATACAGGTTAAGATATGGAAAATGTTTCTGATTCTTTCCCCTTCTATGGTATAGTTCTGATAGAGCAATGACTACTTACTGTTTGGGTAAGAAGCTCAAAATTTTAGGTTTATTCTGGTTGTCATTTAAATATGAATTTAAAGGTGGTTCTCATCAAGACAAAGACTTCTCTGTCCAACCATACCTGGCTCCCTGGACAGCAGAACAATACACATTCCTCTAATCAAAATCTGTAGTTTTTGCTAGGACTCAAAGGTATGTGTCTATTCCTTCTGTTTACAGATACCTGTTACCTGCTTTTTTCTTTTTATTTCTGTGATAAGGCTTTCAATATGGGCCTAAAAGTTTCAAATGTATTATTTTTCTTTAAGTACATAAATTTTAACTTCTGTTCCTAGTTTACACTTATCTCAATAGGGTTCCACTTGGCTGGAAGATGCATCTAAGCACCAGTTGCTGACGACAACCTGCTCTGATAGGCTGTGAGCCCTGGACTTCCTGAAGGCTGATGTGGACCAGTCCAGGTGATGTGACTGCTCCCTCTCTCTTCAACAGATGCTTCTGAGTTCCCGCCTTACCTTTGGCTAGCCTTTCAGCCTTCTTGGGCCCTGATGACAATGCCCAATGTCAGCTTGAAGTAGTTGCAGAAAGGAACACATTGTCCCATGCTCCCTGCCCAGAATAGGTTGAAAGTTTGAGACAAGGGGGAACTTCCTGGCATGGGGGACAAACTGACTACCTATAGTGCCCATTGATATACCAGAAAAATAGGCCCAGAGATGTCAATGAATGGATTTATTAACTAAAATGGTCCTACAATAAAAAAGACACTTTGGTTCTTTATGCAGAACCACAGAACCAAAGAGGACATCCAGGATTATAATTACAATTTGGTTGTACTCAAAAGATCAGAGCTACAGGGCCTGGTAGGTTGGCCACTGCCCTGGAAAAAATCTGTTAGCTAATGGTTCTTAGGTCCCAATAATACCTCCTTAAACCCATGGGCAAGCAGGACCCATGACTGGGTCCTGTCATCGGTACTTATGAAGGGGGATGTGTAGGACGCAGCCATGATAAGCTTAATAGAGGCCTGAATCTCAGCAGTTTTCCCTAAGGCAATATCTGATTGTAGAAAAGATCATAAACTGGGACTACCCAGGCACTACCCAGGAACAGACCACCCAAAGGAAATTCCTAATATTCCAACTGTTGCACATAGGATCACCTGCCATCACACACCCATCGCTTTCCACCAGGATACCCCTAGACAAATGTCAGCCAATAAGGATTGAGCCCATCACCCCAAACCCTGCTAATGTAACTTTTCTGGGTTTTGCCTTTAAATAGTGCTCTTTAGAAGGGTTGGGTACCTCTTCTTGCTGCTGTGTAGACGAGGTCTCTGCCGGCTTGTACACATGCATGATAATAAACCTTGCTTTTGCATTTTGGTGAGTTGGTCTCCCTGGTGGTCTTTTAGGGTCCCCATGTGATGTGGGAAGGTCATTTGTCAATCTGTTGTTTCATTGGTTAATCAATAAAGAAAACTGCTTGGTCTGATAGGTCAGAAAATTAGGTAGGTGGAGTAGACAGAACAGAATGCTGGGAAGAAGGGAAGTGAGACAGACGCCATGCCTCTTCTCTCTGGACACAGACGCGATGAAGCTCCGGCCCAAGATGGACATAGGCTAGAATCCTTCCTGGTAAGCTACTTCCTTGTGGTGCTACACAGATTATTATAAATGGGTTAGTTGAGATGTGAGAGTTAGCCAAGAAGAGGCTAGATATAATGGGCCAGGCAGTGTTTAAAAGAATACACTTTGTGTGTTGTTATTTCGGGGCATAAGCTAGCCAGGCGGCCAGGAGCCAGGCAGCCAGGAGCTGGGCGGAAGGAAGCAGCCTGCTGCTCCTTCAACACCCATGGACTGGGCACAACAAAGTCAAGCTGAATCTTTTGTTGTTGTTTTGAAACAGAGGCTCAGGTTAATCCAAGTTGCCTATGTGGTGTAGGAGGTCCTTCTGTTTGTATGTTGTTTTCATTGGCTAATGAATAAAGAAACATCTTTGGGCCTGATAGAGCAGGACTTAGGTAGGTGGAGAAGACAGAACTGACTGCAGGGAAGAAGGGGAAAGTGAGAGAGACACCGCCATGGATCTCCTGCCTGAGATGGACTCTGGTTAGAATCTTGCTGGTAAGCCACAGTCACGTGGCGATACACAGATTAATAGAAATTGGTTAAATTAAGATGTAAGAATTAGCCAATAAGAAACTAGAGCTAATGAGCCAGGAAGTGTTTTAATTAATACAGTTTCTGTGTGGTTATTTTGGGTGTAAGCTAGCCGGGCGGCTGCACAAACAAAGGCTTCTGCTCCTTGTAACACCTATGTATCTGGGATGACCTTGAACTCCTGGTTCTCCTATTACTGCATTGTAAGTGATACATACATGCACATACATGTGCTCTCAACTTTCGGGGACTGGCTCCATTCATCACCATGTTAAAGTGGTATCTCTCTTGTTTCTGGTTAAGTGCCTCATCTCAAACCAGTAGCTTCCTGGAGTAGATACCAGGAGTGCTGAGATTACAGATGTGTGCCACCATTTTGTATAGCAGATTCCTCTGAACTAGAACTTCCCCTTCAGAGGGAGCTGGAGGCCCACAAGACTGAGAAAGTATAAGAATGGTCATGTGTCTGAGAAAGAAACTTGGTAGATTCTTGAAGGCCCCTCCCTGGCTTTCTAGCAGGAGCAAACAGCTGCCAGGGAGGAGTCTCAGCAGCTGGGTTACAGAGAAGAACCTCTCCCACGGCTGAGCTCAGAGAGCTCCACTTGTCAAAAGTTGTCACTCAACCCAAGTGTGGCAGCACATGCCTTTAACACCAGTACTCAGGAGGCAGGCGGCTCTCTGAGTTCGAGGCCAGCCTAGTGTACAGAGTGAGTTTCAGGACAGCCAGAGCTACATAGAGAAACAAAACAAAACAAAATTGTCACCCAAGGCAGGCTTTTCGGTGATGGGGCTGTTCCTTTGAGTCATCCCTGGCCCATATACTCCTGTTAGTGTCCTGTGTAGGACTTGGATGCAGTCATTACTTTGGTCTATTGTGGGTTCCCTTCCTGGGATGAGTAGATGTGTGGGTTGCATCTCTCCAGAAGTCTGTCACACACACCATGTCTAGCTTAAAAATATTTTTTAAAGACTTATTTTCTATCTATGGGGTTTTTGCTTGCTTGTATGGATGTGCATGATATGGAGGTAGTGCCTGTGGAGGCCAGAAAAAGGCATTGGATCTCTTGGAACTAGAGCAACAGATGATTGGTAGCCACTGTGTAGGTGCTGGGAGGGGGACCTGGGCTTCCGCATGAGCAGCACCTGCTCTTAACTGCTGAGCTAGCTCTCTAGGTCTACTTTTCTGTGTGGGTTCCAGGAATCAAACCCAGGTCACCAGGCTTGCACAGAAAGCGCTTTCTCCATCTAGCAGACTCTCTTTGTTTGCGAGACTGGCTCTACCACAGCCTGCGCTGGCCATGAACTCTCTACATAGCTCCCCGAGTGCTGGGATTACAGGTACGCATCACCGTGCTCCGATTAAATGACGATGGAAAGGAGGCCAAGGATTTGTGCTTGCCAGGTGTAGTGAGTGTCGATTATCAGCTGAAGAAATCTAGATCACCCTGGAGTTAGGCCTCTGGGTGTTGCAAAATATGTAACTATGTAAAGATGTGTTGTGTTTGTTTAATTATGTAAAGATATGTTGCTGTTTTACCTTGCTTGCCTACGGCATCTGATTGGTCCAAAAACCTGGATGAACTGAGCAGTGGTGGTTTAATCCCAGTACTCGGGAGGTAGAGGCAGGTGGATCTCTGTGAGTTCGAGGTCAGCCTGGTCTACAGAGCGAGTTCCAGGACAGCCAGGACTACACAGAGAAACCCTGTCTCGAAAGAAGAAGGAGGAGGAGGAGGAGGAGGAGGAGGAGGAGGAGGAGGAGGAGGAGAAGGAGAAGGAGAAGAAGAAGAAGAAGAAGAAGAAGAAGAAGAAGAAGAAGAAGAAGCAGCTGGATGGCCAATAGCAAGGGGAGAAGGTATAGGCAGGGCTTCTGGGCAGGGAGAGTAACTAGGAGGAGGAAGGCTGGGAAAAAGGAAGAAAAAGAGATGCCAGGGAGATGCCACGGGCCATGGCATGGAGGAAGCAGGAAAGTAGGACATAGAGAATGAAAGATAGGTAAAAAAGCTCCAAGGCAAATGTGGATGAATAGAACAGGTTAAATTAAATAAGAGCTAAATCAGGCATCTTTTAATCTCAGCACTTTGGAGGCAGAGGCAGGTGGATCTCTGTGAGTTTGAGGCCAATCTGGTCTACAGAGTGAGTTCCAGAATAGTCAGGAGTGTTTCACAGAGAAAACCTATCTCAAAAAAACAAAAACAAAGTTATACAAGCTAGTTAAAATAAGCCTGAGCAGAAACAGAGTGTTCATCATAAGTCTCCATGTCTTTATTTGGGAGCTGGTTGATGACCCAAAGAAAATTCCAGCTACATCTGGGCCTGTGCTCTAATTCCTTTTCTATTGCCATGACAAAACACCACAACCAAGAAGACTTATAAAAGAAAGCATTTAATTGGGCTCATGGTTCCAGAAAATAGTGTCCATGACCGTCATGGGGGAGCATTGCAACAAGCAGGCATGTGGCAGTAGGCGAGAGTTTGCATCCAATCCACAAACACAAGGCAGAGACTCAACGGAATATTGTGGACTTTTGAAAACTCAAAGTCCAACCTCATGGCACACCTCTTCTAACAAATCTACACCTTCTAATCCTTCCCAAATGGTTCTACCAACTGGGGACCAAGTGTTCAAATATGTGAGTTTACGGGGACCATTCTCATTCCACCTACCATAGCCCACCTGTGGGGAGTATCTTGGTTTGCGTAACTGAGGTGGCAAGACCTACCCACTGGAGGCTGCGCTGTCCGCTGGAGGGAATCCTGGGCTGTGTGAGTGGAGAAAGGGAGCTGAGCAGCAGAGTGCATGCGTGCATTCCTTGCTCTCTGTTCTCTGGCTGTAGATGGAGAGCGGCTGGCTTGTTCAAGTTCTTGCTGCCTTTATTCCCCACCACAACTCACTGCACCCTTGAATGTCGAGCCATAATAGACCTTTCTTCCTTAAGTTGATTTTTCTACGTTTATGTATGTGTGTGTGTATGTATGTGTGTACGTACATGTACGTAGTGTGTGTGTGCAGGAGTGTATACGGAAGTTGGTCTTCTCCCTCCACCATGAGGATCCTAGGGATTGAACTCAGACCACCAGGCTTGGTGGCAATTGCCTTCACCTACTGAGCCATCTTGCCAGTCCCTTCAGTTGATTCTGTCCGGACATTTTATCACAGCAATGGGGAAGTAACGAGGACGCTAGGCAAGTGCTATATTAACCGCTTTCTGAGACAGGGTCTTACAATGAAGCATAGAATGGCTTTGAACTTGGGATTCCCCTGCTTCCTGCCTCAGCCTTCCAGATGTAGGGATTATCATCCTTGTCTGACA